ATTACCGTATTTGTGTACAGTGGTTGGTGCAAATTTTTCAATTTGAGTTGTTTTCAATTTTATTTTACTTCTTATTTGAAATTAAGCTTTGTAATAAGGATAAATGATAACGATTAGGAAAAAGTGAAGGCGAAATTGAAGAACTTATGGGATGATCGAAAATTATCAAGTTAATGACATTTATCATATTGTCGATATTTATTGAATTTGTGGACTTAATGAAACTTATCGAGTTATCGTAATGCATAGAGTTCTTTCAACTTACAGAGTTATCAATATTTATTGATTTGCTGAATTTTTTACGATGAAATTTTCAAAATATACCGAGTTACCAAAACTTCAAGTTTATATATAAGTCCATCGAGTTATCACTGCTTGTCGAGTTTTATCCTGTTACCAGAAAGTAACAAGTTTGAATTTTGATTGAGTTTGAATGAGATTGAAATTTGGAGGCATCAAAATTAATCGAGTATCGGAATTTATAGGGATATACAAATATTAGCGAGTTATCAATTGATATTGACATATATACGCTTTTGAGTTACCGAAATTTATCGAGCTCTCGAAATGCACTATTAACGAAATTTATCGGCAATCATCGAAATAAGTCGAGCTATCAAGATTTTTTGAGTTATCAGATTTTAGAGGTTTTTATATTTAACAAATTGTCGACATATATCTGGAAATTCATCGATAAACTGGAATGTATCGGGTCAATTCCAAGTCCGGCCAAGGTCCGTTAAAGAATATATTCTGAGTTCTTATTGAGATCCTATAGCGGAGAACGAAGCCAATCTTTGGAGTTTATTTGCACATAGACTAGCAGGTATAGTAGCGTGTTTGGAGAAGAAGCTCGACCAAACACTTAGCAAAAGGTTAAGAGCCAAAAATGTACCTATTATTAACAAAACATATTTATGTACAACAAGGACACTTAAACTACCACCCGCTAAGTGCTCTAACGGGAGCAACCATAATTCATGTTGTCAAAATGAAATCTCTGCAAATCCTTGAGCACAAAAAGGTGAACATGTAATAACTTTTTGTTTATTGAAAACACTGGACACATCTAGTTTGAGTGGCAACATAAGAGCACTAAGCGTTCAGCGACAGTAGCAGTAAGCATAGTGCATGTCAGTGCAATGCGAAATCCTTGACTTTGTCAACACTTGACCACTTGTTAACCAGCGGGGAGGGAGCCAATATGAAAGAACCCCAAAAGAGAGCGACAATTGTTAATGGCACAGTCAGCAGTTGGCGCTCAGCATACAAACGAATTCAGCGCAGAGTGCTCAGCAGTGTGACCGTTTTGATACATATGTATACAATTGGATATATTAAATAAATATATTATATTTTCACCTTAAATTTTGAGGGACACTTCGTTTTTTTCTCAGTGTAATTTTGGATACCTTTTCCCATAAGTATTCGTAAGTTGAAGGACATTGTGTTTTTAATTTATGTACGAGCTATTATAACGTTTTGAATAGTTGGCTGCACATCCTATATGCAAGAAATTTTCCTTTATTTTTGTGACTTTGAAAAATTAATTTCTTAGCTACATAAACGTGCATTTAATAAAACCAAGTAATTTGCAAATTTTAAAAGCTTTTCCGTTCTGTAGTGGTTAACTGTAATGCGAAAAAAATCAACTTTTACATCTCGAGCAACCCTTCTCTTAGCATTCAAAGGAAATTGACAACAATGCCGATGACTAATTTTCAACAATAACTTGACTGTACTAAAAATAACCTGTAGCTTCTAAGTTTTCAGCTATATGTCGTTAAGCAAAAATTCAGACACGCCGGAAATAGAAATTTTTCTTGAAGGCGGAATTTACAGACAAATGCAAATTTTTGAGAATTTTTTTAATTTCATAGATACCTTCTAATCCACCAGTGTGCTTGAAAAACATTAGGGCTGTTCAGGATCTTGTGCTCTTGCATTTGCATATTCGTTGTATTTGTAAATTCCCAACAATAAAATGCACACGATGCCATATCGCAGCAAGCCAAAATTTGCAAAGGCAATTCCAACTGTAAATCCAGGACCATTTCCACAACATCCTGGGCAGCCCTATTGTAATCATAATAGCAGGAAATAACAATTTACTGAACTAACAACCAATTTCACGAGAGCAATTTAGGTGAATAATAATTAAATTTTTATAAGGAAATTGACAGAAAATAAAAAATGATTTTTTATTAAAATTACTGGTGAAACCCGCTGTAAATGTAACAGGTCAAAGTTAGTTTCAATTAGTATTATTTTCATAGAATAGGAAACATTTTTACATGTATTATTTGTTGGAATCTAATCGTAGTAATAAACATTGAACATGCGGAAACTTTGGCCCGTAGTTGTAGTCAGTATTTTTCCATTCTCAGAAACAGATCTGGGAAACAAAGGCCCGTAGTTATAGTCAAAATTAAGTCAACACTAAAGTTAGTTTCGGCTTTTTTGACAGGTGTCTCATCAAAAATTATGTCAAAAAGGTGCAATTAACTTTAGATTCGACTTAATTTTGATTATAACTACGGGCCTTTGTTTCCCAAAACCGTGTCTAAGTATACTGACTACATGTTAATAAGTTTGCTAAGGGGCCGAGTTTCCCTTCCATAGATGTACTGTGTAAAAATGTCCGCTCTTTTCGGTGGATATATTTGGATCAGCGTTGCCATTTTAGCCGTTTTCCGGCTAGATTTAGCCGGTTTTGATAGCAACTAGCCGGAGAAAATTCGATCTAGCCGGCAGCCGATTTGTTAGCCGGTTTGTAAAAAAAAGTTAGCCGTTTTTAGCCGATTTTACTATTTGCCTAATTTTCAGGTGCAAAAAGTAAACAAGTTGTTCGAAAGCAATAATGCAGACCCAATGAAGATTTTTAATGAACTCAATGTTTTACTTTCGCATCTATGCTCCCTAGTGGTTATTAGCGCGGACACATTTGATCCTATATGCTCCCCGTTGGAACCATACCTTGCTCCATTTCCTCAGTTTTATCACAGTTTTGAAGAGTATTTAAAAAC